TATCATCATCACACGGATACTCACTCTCCATATCCTTCTCTCACTCGCTTACTAGGTCCCCTCCTGCCCTCTTTTCAGCTGTCCTACCGCTTCGCCGGCTCCCCCCCCTGTTCTATTACTCCCTGTTAATGTGTGTTCCTGCTTACTCTCCCGCGCACCCCCGCGTACGTCTTTGCTCCTGTGTGCCCCTGCTCCCTGCTACCGTGTGCTCCCTGCTCCCTGCTCCTGTGTGCCCCCTGCCTCCCGCAGGCTCACTGCTCGCACAGACTTGAGGGTCAGGGTGGACATTCTGGCCCCTGTAGCTGGTGTGGAGACATGCCTTCTCTCCCGGGAGAGGTCCACACCCGCCTCATCTGTAGGTCTCATATCCTGATTGTGTGGTTTCACTTTAAAAATGAGCTGACTCACTATTTAAACAGATGACTATTTAGAAAGAGGTGTCAGGAACTTCCACACCACGCAAGACGTAAAAAATACACCTGTTAGAGAAACAGCCAGATGATTGTGGATTTGATCTGTCTTCGTTTCTCTTAGAGACAGAGCGGGGAGGGGAGGGGACGGGAGGAAAGAGAGGTCACTGAGGCAGCCCAGGCCTTGGACTTGCCCTGGCTTCGCTGGCTCTGTGACCTCGGAAGTGTTACCAGCCCCAAGGCCACGGCCATGCCTGCCGAGACGGGTATTATGAGGATATGGAATTCTTGGTCAGCCCTGTTGATAAAGGTCTGTCTCCATTCCATTCTGTTTTTTTAAAAGTTAAGGTAATCTAGTTATGAGAATATTTTAAAAGTACAGGGTGGGGCAAAAGTAGGTTTACAGTTGTCCATATGGCAACGAATATGATAATTAATAAATGAGAATAAACTGTTTCACGTACTGACCCCTGTACACCTGGGTTGCCCACCTGTAGCCTCCCTCAGTCTTGTTCACGGTGTACATGACCTTTTGCAAGAACCTGTTTGGAGGTGCGTTTTTCCCCAGAGAACTGTGGGCCGGGCACACACTGCATCCAAGTCTCATGTGTGGCTGCCCGGCCTCAGGTACAACTGTGGAGACCAGCGCTGCTACCTGGACCTGGCCCGGCTCCGCGGCGTCCACTACGTCACCTGGCGCAGGCAGAACAAAGTCTTTCCTCAGGACAAGGCAAGTGCAATGGCGAAGCTCCCCGGCTTTTGCTTTTCAGCTCGTGTGAAGTGTGTAGTTATGAATGTGAAAAACTGTCGCTGGGCTTCAAAGGAAAATTGTTCTCTGGAATACTGAGTTGTATCTCATATTTGCAAATTGGAGGAAGAGGGTAGTTGTTCACTCGGTATCTTTAATGTTAATAAGAAAATTTCATGAAATTTGGGCCTAGAAAGGGCTATTCAATTGCATATCAGAGAGATCAGCGGACCGGAGACCAGCAGGCCAAATCTGGCCCCCCACCTGTTTTTACAAATAAAGTTTTATTGGGACACAGCGTGCCCTCTGTGTATGTGTTGTCTGGCTGCTTGTGCCCTTCCATGGCAGAGTTGAGTCACCGTGACAGAGGCTGCGGTCCACAGAGCTGAAATATGTGTTCTTTGGACTTTACCAATGCTGACTTCCGAGGGAGAGCGCGAATTAAGACTGTTGCTTTGGCCAAAGTAAAATAAATTTTTCCTGTTCAGAAAAGCATGTCCTCTGACTTACAGACCTGTGTTTTGGTTTGGTTTTCCAGGGCCACCACCCCACTCTGGGGGAACATCCGAAGTTTACCAACTACTCCTTCGACGTCGAAGAGTTTATGGACCTTGTCCTGCAGGCTGCAGAGCACGTATCGCGACACCCGAAGTGGCCGTGGAGGAGCAGACGAGACGAGCTGTGACTGCGGCTGTCTGCAGGGGCCGAGGTGGACGCCCTCCAGCCCCTCAGACCGGCCTCAGGGCTCTACCTGTGGGCTTCATACTGTTTCGTGTGACGTTTGTGTCACTGCTTTTTGTCAGATCCTCTTCTTGCACTGAAATGACTTTTTGAGTTCAAAAACTGGCCATGGCTCGCCGAGGATTGAGCTTTCTTTTTGGGGATCCAAGCACTCAACTTTCTCAGTGTCAGGATCTGTAACTGGTTCTGTGGGCACCTCAGGGTGGTTCATTCTAGAGGCTCCACCTGGTTATGATGTCGGAGTAAATTCACCATGGCCTTTATTTGTCATAATTTATTCATAACACTGCTTGTGGTAGGAAAGGGAAGCATGCAACACCCACACACACCCACCCTCACACCCACACACCTACTCACACACACACACCTACACTCGCACCCACACCCCCCACACACCACTCACACACACTTACACCTACACTCAAACCCACACACCACTCACACATAGTTACACTCATACACACACCCACACCCCATGCACTCACACATATCCCCACTCACATCCACACATACACACACATGCACACCCACACACACCTACTCACACACACCTACACACACTCACACACCCACACTTACACCCCCACACTCCACACCCCCACATACATTCCACTCACACACACCTACACATTCACACACACATACACACTCACACTCACACCCCTTACAGCCCTCCCCACACAGGTGCGAATCTCAGTGCTGGGCCATAGGACGCACCTGCAGATGAATGTGCTGTAAGCAGATCAGCTTCACGCTGTCCGAGCCCAGAGCCCCGCACTGATTCCCTGCTGTATCTTTTCGGTCACCTGCACGTCATAGGCGCCAAGAGCCTGGATGAATCCTGCTGCTGTGCTAATTTATAGTCACATATTTCATATGCAAATCAGGCTTCCCAGGACGCATTACCTGTGATGAACGCACACCAGCAGGTTCTTTAGGACTGCCTGGGACCTTCCAGCGGGCTTGCACGGCTCCTTGCTGGGGAGCAGGTCTGTCCAGCCCTGGTCTCCAGCGTGGGCGTTTAGCCGGAGTGCCTGTGTGCGTGCCCCACCCTCTCCCAGGAGAAGTTGTGTCCAGTATTAGTGCAAACTTCCGATGAGCCCCATGGAGAGTCTTTCCTTTAAAAAGACACGTGTGCATCATCCATTTCAAATGCAAAGAAGCCGTAGGAAGTGCCGTCGACGGAAGAGCATGTCGGAAGTGCAGGCCATCGGAATGGGCCTCATTTCTGACTGTTTATCGCTTGCTTTTGCAGTAAACAATCATGGGCTTCTCTTACTGCAAAATGTGGTGTTTACATTTTGTTAGCAACTGACTTGCCTAATGTAGAGGCTGGTGACTTCTGTTTTTTAAAGTCTACTTTTAAAAATCAGCAGATTCCAGCAGAGCTAAGAACTTTTTTTCACATTTTAGAGTTATTAAAGAAAAGAACAATGTGTCACAGGGCGTGACCGAGCAACCTAAACCAGCTAAGAACGAGTCTGCTGCCCCCGCTTTAAAGGGTTAGGAACAGTCTCCTAGAGGTTAGGAATATTTATTAAAACATCTGCACACAAACAGTGCACTGCTGTAGCAGTAGCTTTGATTTGGGTCTTGAAATTGTGTGAAAAGCATGACAACATGAGTTTTCAATGATGGAATTGCTGCTGTGGTTTCTGCAGGATCCCACGTTGGCAGGGTCGCACTTTTAGTCCGAGACATAAACATCGGGAAAGTTATCTTCTTACCTCATTTTAAGAAGCGTGTGGAAATGTGATGCTATTTATTTGCTAGTAATAGATGCGAGAATTTCAGAAATTGAGAACAATTTTATAATAAAACTATAATATTTGAATATTCTATATTTAAAGAGAATATGTTTTATATAAACAAAGTACATTTGACACTATGGAATTAACTTTTATCACAATTTTATGGTAGCAAAAGAAGCTTTCAAATGTTATAAAATTTACAATGTCAAGACTGCTCTTTTTACTAAGTCTTTAAAAGAGATGCATTTCATAGTTTATACATTTGGGGATTTGGGGTATGGCTTTGGAATAAATTTTCATATATTTTATTTCAGTAGCAGACCATTTTCAAGGTCTTCTGTGTCTGAATGTTGCATGCTTGCTTTTTGGCAATCCACCAGGTCTAGATTATAAAAATTAAGTAGCTTGCTGATGGAGAATTCAGTTTAAATAAAAATTATACCTTACATTTATTTAGCCACTTATTATATGACTAGAGGCCCGGTGCACAAAAATTTGTGCACTCCAGGGGGAGGGGGGGTCCCTCAGCCCGGCCTGTGCCCTCTCGCTGTCCGGGACCCCTCGAGAGATAACGACCTGCTGGCTTAGGCCCACTCCCGGGTGGCAGAGGGCAGGCCCAATCCCTAGGTGCAGCCCCTGGTTGGGCTCAGAGCAGGGCCGATTGGGGAGTTGGGGCGCCACCCCCTGTCATGCACAGAGCAGGGTGGATCGGGAGGTTGCGATGCCACCCCCAGTCACGCTCAGGGTAGGGCCGATTGGGGGGTTGGGGCACCACCCCCTGTCACACTCAAGGCAGGGTCGATGGGGAGGTTGCGGGGCCACCCCCTGTGACGCACAGACAGGGCCGATCAGGGGGTTGGGGCACTGCCCCCTGTCACTCACAGAGCAGGACCCATCAGGGGGGTTGGGGCTCCATACCCTGTCACGCACAGAGCAGGGCCGATCAGGGGGTTGGGGAGCTCCCCCCTGTCACACACAGAGCAGGGCCCATCAGGGGGTTGAGGAGCTCCCCCCTGTCACTCACAGAGTAGGGTCAATAGGGGAGTTGGGGCACCGCCCCCTGTCACCCATAGAGCAGGGCGGATCAGGGGGTTGGGCGCCGCACCCTGTCACACTGAGGGCAGGGCCGATGGGGAGGTTATGGCTCTACCCCGTCACACACAGA